TCCCCCATCCAGTAATACCCCCCCCCCAGCTAGTTACATAGACAGAAAAAACAGAACAAAAAGTGGATTGGTCATTTCAAAGTTAGCTTTCCCCCTTTGATCAGGCTCTCACCTTAGATGTGTGGGCAAAATTTAGACACCATTATTTTGGGCTTCTAAAGATCTTGACATAGCCTAATACTGAGTTTGGAGTATGCCTCACGGCCAAGGTCTTCATGAGTCAAACCTAATGAAATCAAATAGATCAAAGAGGCAGGTGAGGAATTGGTTTTAACCAAGTAGTATGTTAATTATTACAACCAAGTCTCTACAATAGCTGTTGTAGTTATCTATGTGGAATAAGAAGTGTCAGAGACTGCAGACAACTCCCTATTCAGGTGGTAGTTAGCAATTCTAGCATCCCAGGAATGGATGTGAGCTGGGGGAATAGCTCAGCGAGCACTCGTCTAGAATGTACATGGTCCTGGGTTTGAACCCCAGTACCACTGCCCCCAAAATGAAAAGAGGGCTAACTTCATTTGCATTAGGGATGTAGACTCAAATCTGTAAAAAGACCTGGATCTGATATAACCCACTGAAACTCATAGTTGTAGCCACCAGTTCTGTAGCATACCTTTCACAAGGGCCTTGATTCCAGGTTTTAGTGGAGGATAAAGGCTGGGCATGTAATGATGCTCAGGCTCCCTAGGGAATGGAAACTCCCAGGGAAGTCGGTTGTCTTCTGTATCCAGTACAAGGGAGAGGGAAATTCCTGGGTGCTCTGCCAAAGTTGTTTATGTAGATTCCATTATCCTATTTATACCCCTGATAACCCCTTAAAGGTAAATATATTCACCCCGTTATAAATTGGGAAACTAAGACTTAGGAAGTGGAGGCATGATGCACAGGCATGCACATCCGCGATTCCATCGTGACTGTAACACTTGATTTCTGCTTCTCCTGGCTCTCCCCTGCACACATCAGTGTTCTTTCCTGACTCCCTTTGTGCCTGTACCTCTCTACCCCTTTACAGTACTTACTCCCTAGATAACCTAACCCATGGCTTTATATTTCATTTTCTCCATTCTTTCCATGGGCACCAGTGGGTATAACCAGATACCTACTGGGCAGCTGCATCTGGATGTCCACAAGTTGAACCCCATCTTGTTCAGCTCAACTGTTTTTCCTTATGAAGCCCCATCTTGGGGATCAACATCTACCACTTCTCTCTGTAGATGGTAATCTGTATAGCGTCTGGACTTTAAACCCTTTTCATCCCACTGCTTTAGATTAGACCTTTCTGACATCTTACTTGGACTTCTGTAATAACCCCTGCTCCCACCAGCCTTTGCCCTTCACTGCCAGACATCCTCACTACCCAGAGTAAGATCCAGACCCTTAGCTTGGCAGAGAAGTCCTCCTTTCTCTAGCTTAACCCTTCTGAAACTTGTCCTAGAAGGAACTAAGACTTGTGCCATCTGACTTAAATGAGCCTTTGCATGTGTTGTTTCCTCTACACTGAATGCTCAGGTCTTCTCTCTGGCTAATTCACATACCTTCCTGGCCTGAAGCACAGCTGCCCCTCCACATACTTCTGTCACAGCTTGTACTGCATTGTGTTCACCACTAGTCTGCTGCTGTTACCACTAGATTAAGCTCTTGGAAGACAAATGGCTCTGAACTGCAACAGGTACTTCCGAACATAAGACAGCTGAGGGGCAGCACTACAGAGTGGTTAAGAGCACTCTGAAGCCCAGATACCTGGAATTGCACTCTGGTGCCACCTCTTATCAGCTGCTTACCACAAGACTCGTTTTCTCATCTGTAAAACAGTAATAATCTACTTCAAAGGGTTGCTGTGAAGAGGGCCTGGCACACAGTGGACTTTTTGTTGTGTACTGGCCCAGGTTCTGAGCCATAAAGAGGCATGTCAGTGCAGTGGTAATTTGGGATTGAAAAAAGTCTTAGTTCTCAGAAGCCAAAATAGTTACGTCATGTTGCCATTTATGATATAATTAGGTTTGGTCCTTTTTCTGGTATTTTGGCCTTCATTTGGCTTTGGCACATTTAAAAGCTTATGAAAATCTAGAGCTGATGCATAGTTTTAAAAGATGCCTATTAAAACATTGTCAGATCACATGAAGAATATCCATTAATGCTTACCCTTCAGAACAGCTGGTCCTCCAGTGGCTTCAAATGTAATCATAAAATAAGCCAACTTTAAACGGAGTGATTGTTGCAGTTTTTGGAATATCTTATCTGGAGGATTGAAAAGGCAGCATCCATAGCAGCTGCTAGGGCCCTAGCAGGTGTTTGGTCCTTCCTTATCTCACAGATAATCACCATTAACTTAACAAAACTCCAGGGACTGTGCCTCTGTTGCAAATCCTTTGGGAGTTTAGTGTCCCTATAGCTAAGGGTAGCTGGGCTTAATTGGTTAACTGAGGCAGCCATTCCAAGAACAGCTCATAAATAAAACAGCACCATTTATAGTCCCAAGGTTTAGTGTGAAAATCACATTTGGACAGGCCAACTTGTACCATCTTTTAGAAAAAGGATATGGTTACAAATATTACCAGCCAAAAAGTTTCCTGACTGCTTACCCTGGAATTCAGTGTAAGAAATCAAGCCTAATAGACCCTTCAACAGAAGTAAAACAATTCTATGTGCTGGGCAGGCCTGGATTAAGAATTATCTCTTAAGAGATGTCATTTTTTCCTTTTTATAGATTAGAACAGTAATAGGAGAGGGGAGCCCTTCTGGATGTTTAAAGCCTACTCAGCATTATCAAGAATTAGCAAGGGGGCCAGGAATTTAGCTCAGTGGTGCTGCACCTGCCTTGCAAGGTCCTGAGTTCGATCCTCAGAACTAAAAAGGCGGGGGTCAGGCAAATTGAGGTCAGAAGCCTTGGCAACTCAGCAAGACCCTCCGTCTCAAAATTTAAAAGGGTTCAGGTATAGCTTAATGGTTACTGACTTAACAGATGATACACTAACGGGGGAGATGGTCTTGACACTAAAAGGCTATATGGTGGTAGGACTGTTGGAATCTTAGTATCTTAAGTAATTTCATCTCTGCTAAAACACAGTATAACATACTACAAACCCTAAGTTCTAATATATTACTAAATCCAATTTTCTGTTCAAATATGAGATCAGCACTTGAAAGGGAAAGGAACTGGGTGAGGAATTCCCGTACAGGGTAGAGGCCTTGTCCCAAGCTGTCCAGCCAACCATTTTTTCTGCAGAATACATAGATGTTTGGCAGGGGAAAGGAAAAGCGTCTGCATGTTCTGTACTCCTTTTAAAGAAACTCATGTAAGTATTTACACAACACCTACATTTTTTAGGCACTGCTTCTCTTTCAGCATGGATTATACAAGTAAAAATCTGTGCTAGGGTGCTGCTGCCTGCCTAACAAGTGCAAGGTCCTGAGTTGGATCCCAGGTATCCCCCCAAAAAAAAAATCTGCTAGGGCAAACAATGTATTGCATACAGTGGGTCAGGGACCTGAAGTGTGAGGAGTGAGCTAGGTGCACACTACCTCCCTCCATGGGGGTGAAAAGTAAGGAGTTAACAGGATTTTCTAAGAGAACTGTGAATGTACATATATGCTGAAGAAATTGCACATCAGGATAGCAAACTTTCCTTAGGCAGTTATGAAACATGTTTATCTCTCTACTATAGAACCACTCTTTGCTTGTTTGTATGGTTAGGGATGTCCTCAATACTTCATTTTTTTGGTACTGGGGACTGAACTTGGGACCTTGGTTTGTAAGGCAGGTGTAGTGCCACTGAGCTAAATCCCTGGCCCTACTTTCTTTTTTTTTTTAAAAAAAGACAGTCTCTGCAGTTCAGGCTGGCATTGTACTCACTGTGTAGCTGGCCTCAAACTGGTGGCAATCCTGCCTTGCAATCCTGCCTTACCTTCCTGAACGCTGGGGTTACAAGCATGTGCCACCACACCCAGCTCTTTTTTTTTTCCTAAGACAGTGAATTGAAAATGAGAAGTTGAATTCTCTTCTCACAGGTAGAATGTGGCTCTTGATCAAAAATACTCAACTAACCTTTACTTTGTCACTTCCTAGCAAGCCACAGTTGGTGACAGGCAGTGGAGATGTTAAGAGGTTGGTGTTAATATGTGGGATGTACAGCCTGATCTTTGATCTACGGTCCACTTTTAACCAAACAGTATCTTAACTGAAATACCGTAAAGGGATAGGGTCACTCCTGAGCATCCGCTTTGAGCATGAAGTTAAAAACTGGAGTTGAAACTACCAACATAACTTCTTTCTAATCTTTCACCAAGCTGTAAAGTCACATGCCTTCCCCTAGGAAGTCCCAGAAGTACAGAAGTGAACAAAACACACATAATGTACACACAAAAGCGCCAGACTGCTAGTTAGACAAGAGGCACTGATCCTTGCTTTATTCACACAATATTATCCAAAATTGGGAATCCTGTGGTGTAGATACAAAATAAAGAAAACAGGGTCATAAGCAGCAGCTGGGCTCATCATGGCAGTGGTGGCAACTCCAGTATGGAGTGTTCTCAGGAAGACCTACTTAATTGAGGGAAGCCTCCCTCCACCACTTCACAGCCAAAGTACCTGGCAACACTGGCCTATATTTTAAAATTAAAGGTCACAGTGATTAAAAACAAGGTGGTAAAAGACACTTGGGGATGAGCAACTGCTGCTAAGCCACTTAGTATGAACAAAGTGGCACCAAAGAGGGAGAAGTACTGTGTATGCCTTATCAACTAAGCAGGTGCACAGACCCACAGGACAGCCTTCTCCCCTAGGTTCCAATAAAGAATACCTTTCCAGGAGGTCATCAGGAAACAACTGGTGGCACCACAAACACCACACAAGCAAAATTATCTCGATTTCTCAGTCACATTCAAAGTTCCTTTAGTACAGAAAATAGAAAAGCATTTATGGTAGGGCCTTTTGAACCCAAAACACAAGGTTGGAGAAAAAAGCTGCTGCTAGTGTCACCATTTAGGCTTTCAGAGTTGTGTGTACTGTACACGCTGTACCACTTCATCACCAAAAAGTCACCCAACTAGTGTATCAGTTACAAGACAGAGGCCAGGAAAACTCTGAGAAGGGTACCTAGCACCTTGTATTTCTCTTATAGAGTAACAGCTGGAAGGAAGACTTGGCAGAGAGGTAGTAGCAACAATCCTCACATAAGAAAAAAATCAAACCTATGTAGTCGGATAGTGAAAACAGGCAGTTGTCCCAGATCTTACGTTCCAACCACCCTTTCGTGGGAAACCAGGTCTGTTAGCCTTGTATCTCAGAAGCTGAGAAGGAATAGTGGCTGTCCAATTAAAGTGCTTGCCAATAATACAGTTTTTTCAGGAGAAAGGTACGGTGTGACCTTGCCAGAGCATAGGCACAAACTTGCTTATTGCTGAATTCACTAAGCACATTTTTTATAAAGAAAACTGAAGGACAAATCAAATTGAAAGAATCACTGTTATAATAACTTTAATTTATCTTGCGTTTTACAGAAGTCTATGAACGATTAAAAAAGCACCTCCTTACCCCATCATGTTTCTCTGACAGTTGTTAGAGTAGGCAATAAGTATGTCAACAGCTTGAGCATCGGCAAGGATTTCAGATCAGCCAACCACTCGCCAAAGAACTTGGCAGCTTTTCTATCTTGTTTTTAATACAATGATATATCCATTCTGATGGTAAACCTGTCCAGCCAATTCCTCAGAACACGCTTTGCAAAATCAGTGGTGTGATTAGCAAATTAGTTAGCTTTGGCACGGAGCTGTGCTCGTTTGCCTGTGACAGCCTGGAAGCCAGTTTTGATACTGGCAACAGAGCATCGAGAATGACAAGTTTCACACTGTAAGAAATAGAGCCGGGTGTCCTTCTGCAGAATTGTGTCCGGTGATCGGCATGTATGACAAGTGACATATTCCTCTGTAGGAAAAGCAACACAAAGCATTACCTGGTAGCCACACTAAGGCAGAGATTTCTTTTTTGGGGGGGTACTGGGGATCAAACTCAGGTCCTTGCACTTGTGAGGCAGGTGCTGGAACCAGTAGGTTAAATACCTGGCCTCAAGGCAGAGATTTCTACCCTTTGAAATATATCTCCACTGAACTCTATTTGGTTTTCTTTTCTTTTTTTTCTGGTAGCAGGGACTGAACTCAGGACCTGCATTTGCCAGTCAGGTGCAGTATCACTGAGCTACATCCCCAGCCCTCCACTGAATTCTACATCCAGGCTCACATGAGTTTACTTGGACACCCAGAATAGGGAAGCTTACCTAAACTTAACTATTCTAACAGTAAAAAAAACCCTAAGCTGTCTGCTGTAATGCTCAGGCACTAAAATATGAGTTCAAAAAAAGGACTCCAAATGCCTCAGGATGAAGGGAAGCTTGCTAGTTACCTATTCTTAGTTCTGTTGACAGGAGAGCCACTCAAAGGGAACTTACTAGTCTGCCTAGGTGGAAACAAATACAATTTTAAGAGATTAAGACAATGAAAGGGGGCCAGAGCACACCTGAGTCACAGGCAGGTTTCTCTGACTTGACCTTCAGCTCCCGAAATAACCAGCAGGCTCAATCAACTGGGCCTTCCAGGAAGCCCCCTTTCTTGCATCCCTAATCCATACCCCGCTTTTCCTTCACTATTATTTTTCCCAGTCATTTTTAAGGCTTGCCTTTTCAGGCTCATAAACAGCTTTCCCCAAAACACTGCAGCCTAGAGTATTATAATGAAATTATGTACTTACTGATATATCTTCTTAAGACATTTTCTATCTGTTTCTGTTGGAATCTTCCTTTGATTACAAGTTGGTTATTGCCATCTATAGAACCACTATGAAAGAAAACAAAACATACTGCCATTATTTTTTCCAAAAGGAATAAAATTGCAGCACCTTCACATTTAATGATTTTAAAGTTCATCTAATGGTGTACGATAAGTTCTAGGATCAGTCTGCCAGACTGTCTGGTCTGTCTCTCTAAAGTCTCTGGCAGTAATGGAGATTGAACCTAAAAGTTTCTGTACTAAGCCACACCTCCAGTCCTTTTTCATCTCTTATTTTGATACAAGGTCTCACTATATTACTAAAGTGCCCAAAATGGAGCTGAATGTACAATTCCCCTGCCTCAGCTTCTCAGAGTACTGTGATTAGAGATTTGTACGTCTAATCCAGCTTCAAATTTTATTTTTATTTCACTGTGTAGTTAAGACTGACCTGGAACTCACTATGTAGCCCAGACTGGTCTCGAACTCACAGCGATCCTCCTGCCTCAGCCTCCCGAGTGCTGGGATTACAGGTGTGCACCACCACTCCCGGCCCTAGTTCTTAACATTAAATCCAATTTCAACCAATCATGTTGCCAACGATGAGACTTACAATTGTCAGTCTAAAACAAACTGTGCATGACAGCCCATATAATTCCCCCCAAAAAACAAACTGCATTATCAGGTGCAAATCAAGCGAGAGCCTTAAGTATAAAAATATTAAAGGAAATAGCTATATATATATCTCCTAGAACTCACTACATAGCCAAGGTTGGCCTTGAACTCAGAGCAATCCTCCTGCCTGAGCTTTCTGAGTGCTGGGATTACAGGTGTGTGCCACCATGTCCAACTGACAAGCACTCTTCAGATAGCAAGACTCTGTGCTAAACATTATCATCTGCTAAAAACTACAAATCATAAAGTAAAACAATGAATTTTAGGCAGAGTTAAATTTGTATTTTATTGTAAAAGTCATCTATATCCTCTCCTATGGATCACCTTTAACTACAAGGATTTAGTATCATCCTCTGTGGCCTGTAATCCTTAATCTCCAGGCCACACTGATTCTACTGTAGGAAATTTTGTATTCATTGGCAAAAGAAATGCAATTTTCTCAATCCTAAAATATTTAATCTATTGACAAAAGTCCATGGGTCAAACTTATTATAATTTATCCTACCTCCATAAAAAACACTGCTAAATGATTTGAGCATTTACATTTAAAGACCACAATTCTAGCTAGGTATGGTAGCGCACACCTGTAATCCCAGCACTTAAAAGGCTGAGTACAGGAGGACTGCTGTGAGTTCAAGGCCAGCCTGGCCCACATAGTGAGTTCAAGGACAACCTGAACTACAGAGTAAGAACCTGTTTTAAAAAACAAAAAAGGGTTGAGGATTTCTCAGTGGTTCTACCACATGCCTTGCAAATGAAAGGTGCCGAGTTCAATCCCCAGTACCAAAAACAAAACAAAAAAAGAAAAAATACCCCAATTCTACAGCAGAGCTTTCATATCCAACATGGTCAAGTATACTTCTTAACACAATAAACATAGCAAATTCCAACTGTTAAGTTTTAAGAGTACAGGAAAAGCACAGAATACCTTAATTATCTTTGTACTGCTGGTGAGGCAGAGGTAATTAAGCCCTGTAAGAACTCAAGCTCTTGAAAACAGCCCAACTGCCCATAAACTGGAGACTGGTTAAAGATTTTTTTTAATGGAATATTACTCAGCCATAAAGAATGAGAAACTAGAGATATTTATAGCTAAGTGGATGCACATTGAGACCATACTCTTAAGTGAAATTAATAAGACATACATGTGTAAATAGTTTCTCTGGTATGAAAAACTAAAAATAAGGAACAAAATGTATAACTGATAATTGTGTAACAGGAAGAAAAGGCCTAAAAGAATAGGGGAAGTAGGAGGGGTATCAGAAAGGTAAGAAGGCAAAAGAAAAAATTATGAAAAAAGGAAAAGCATGGAAGCCGTATCTTTGTACACAAGGAAGGGTGGGGAGGGTAAAAAATAAGAAACCAAGATAAATCATGTAAAGGTGTAAGATCCCAATGATGAAAGTAACTATATTATACACCTAAAATGTACCAATAAACAACAACAACAACAACAAAAGCTCAAGCTCCAGAGACAGGTATACTTAACCTTATATACTGACTGCACCACTAACTACCCACATGACCTACAACTTCACTAACCCTGTTTCCAAATCTGAAGCAAAGATAGTATGTTCTACTTCATGGGCTGTTGCAAAGATTGTGATAATACTCAAAATAACACTTGAGACAATACCCAGCATAAAACAGGTGCTTAATATGTGTTGTCATTATGACCTAAGTCTACATCATATTAATATTTTTAAAGCGATTATTTAGCTTCCTGCTTATAGTAATCAAACTCCTCAGCCTGGGCTCTATTGAGATCCTGGCTTTCCTGAATGGAAATGGACAGGTTCAGTGCCTTCGAAAGGTGAGCCTGAAGACGGGGAAGACGCTATTTAATCTTGAATCTTTGTCTCAATGGTTTCTCCTATACCACTCATTAACTTAAAAGACCTATTTCTTTTTTTTTTTTTGGTACCTGGAATCAAACTTAGGACCATGAGCTTGCAAGGCAGGTGGCAGAACCACTGAGTCAAATCCCTAGCCCAAAAGACCTATTTTTTCAATGGCCTCTTACCAATTTAGAAAAGAAAATTCTGGTCAGGTGTGGTGGTGCACGCCTGCAATCCCAGCACTCAGGAGGCTGAGGCAGGAGGATTGCTGGGAGTTCGAGACCAGCCTGGGTTACACAGTGAGTTCCAGGTCAGCTCAACTACATAGTGAGACCCTGTCTCAAAAAAAAAAAAAAAAAAAAAAAGAAAAAACAAGTGCGTGCCATGACAAAAAAAAAAAAAAAAAAAAAAAAAAAAAAAATGCTAATAAACATGGAAGTACCCGTTCTACTACTCATTTTCAGATTAGAGTTTGTCAAACTAAGAGGCTCTTAGACAATGTCCACTATTACTTACTGTACATAAATGCAAACAGTTTCTCACCTTGTACCCAATTCTGCCAATAAAAATGCAAGGAGATGTTTGGGCTGACGATGTAATCTAAAAGGCAAAGTCAAGCACATAAGTTTTATCTTTCCTGGAAATCTAACCAAACTTCTAAACAACCATCCTGTTCACTATTTCCATCTGTGAATACTCAACTATTCAGTGAATTTCAGTGCACAGTTCATTTAAACTGGGCTGATACTATATAATACATTTATATTGCAATGCTTATAAATAGTATTACTTTCTATTCACAAACATATACATGAGTAAGTACATGAAAACATGGCACAAGTAAATACTAACTTTAGAGGACAGTATTGTCGCCTGAGAAGGAAAAAAAAAACTCAGAGACACAAAGGTGTCCTTAACTGTAAAACATTTTAAAGAGATCTGAGAGAAAAAAAAGAGCGCTGAAGTAAATGTGTCAAAATGTAAATATACACTAAACTTAAGCAATGGGTATTTGGACCTTTATTATGCTAATCTCTACATATTCCCTATTAGAAACCATTTATCTTTTTAAAGTAGAAAAAATATATTTATTTCATGGTAGCACAACAGCCTCTCTTAATGGTAGATTTCGTTATTTTTCATTTTTCTTACAATTTATTTTCTAATGAGCATGTATTACTATTGACATCAGCAAAAAAAATTCCTAGGATATTTTAAGTAATGCCTGTAAGTAATGAAAGTAAGTAGCAGTCATTCTTGTAGGTCAGTATGAACTGATTTTCTCATCTCTTGATACTATGCCAATAAGCTCAGGACCTATGAACTGAATGAACTGAAATTTGACCTCCCTCAAGTTAAACCCTACACTCATGCATTTTCTTTTTCTACCTGTAGTAAAGTCCAAAATAATGACATCTTTAAAATACCATTTAGAATCCGGTATTTAGAATGGAGGGTCTCCATTGACCAACTTACAGTTTACAGATATCTGTAAAGTTGACAAAAGAAGTTTTCTTGGTTCCTACTCGAACAACCTGTGGAGGTTTCATGACAAATTTTCTTTTCTCTCCAGCAACCATATCTGGATTCTTTTCCCTCATGATGTTGAACACTCGATTCAGTAGCTGTAGGGATAAAGTTATATTCAAGCACATTCTTAGAGCAGGAGTATAACATTCCCATTCGAGTCAATCTGCTTTACTACATCATATTTCACTTTTTACTAAATACACATATGCATCACTATATGTTCTGATGTGGCTTTAAGGCAGGTACTCGCCATCAACCAGGATCTGGCCCATTATGGATGCTCAAGGATTCTTTGTTCTAAGTTAAATTAATGAGTTAGCCCCCAAAACTAATTTTAAACTAATTTTGCTGTTTTTATGGAAAGTATATCATACATGGAAAAAATTTAGAAAAGCCCAAACAAACTCCAGACTATCATGGCTCCTCTGCATCTGTTTGACCATCAATCTGTAACTCAGTAGCCCTTAAAATTTACAGAACAATGTCTCTTGCTTTCTTTTGAGTCCTGGTGAACAGCTTGGTGCCTTCTCAAAACAGAATTTATCTTACCTCTTCATATGTGTAGTCTCTCTCTGATCCTGCCCAAGCAGGGCCTGTCTGGTTACTGAATGAGATACCATCATCTTTTTTGCTGTCTTCATCTTCTAAAGCTACAATAACAAAGACTGTAAGAATAAGGGGAGGGGCCTGGTATGGTAATGGGATGGGGGTACTAGAGAAATAAAAGCTTCAAAGATACTTGTTTTCCTCTTCACAGTGGCTTCTCAACAGCCTTGAATGTAAAGGACCTAAGCCTTACAAACAAACCTATTTTCCTTAAAGACAGGATGTTCTGACTTTCATAAAAAAATTCCTGATAGTGACACACCAAAATGTTTTACTTTTCTTTCATTCTTTTGAGACGGGGTCTATGTAATCCAGACTGCCCTTATACTTGCTATGTAGCCCAGGAAGGCCTTGAACTTTATTGAGATCTTTTTGCCTCAGCCTCCCAAGTCCTGGGATTACAGTTACAGACTTGTGTCACCATGCCAGCTCTGACACATTTCTTGATTTAAAAAACATAAAATAATGGATTTGTGTTAATAATAATCCTGATACATGAAAATAATGTATTATCTTAATCAGAAGAAGGAGTACTATCTTGAAGCACTTAAGAAATTTCCACATCCTGAAAAGCTCATCTATTAGGCTGGGCAGGTGGTACATGTCTATAATCCCAGGATTCAGGAGGCTGAGGGAGTATCGCCATGAGTTCAAAGCTAACATGGACTACATAGTGAGTTCAAGGCCAGCCACAACTACACAGTCAAAATCCTGTCTCAAAAAAAAAAAAAAACGGACCACCTGCTGTTGCCTAGTTTTTTAAAATCCTTACAGCATTTATAAACTATTAAAACTGTATTTACAAATTTTCAAACATTAAACTTTGACTACCATTATCAAGTTAAGAATTACATTTTCATAATTGTGTCACGCTATAGAAGCAGCAGAAAAAATTTTTTTTCTTTTGTAATGAGACAGGGTCTTGCTTTTTTATGTAGCCCAAGCTAGCCTCGAACTTGAGTCATGATCCCCGCCTCTGCCTCCTGAGTGCTGGGATTAGAGGTGTAAACCACCATGCCTGGCAAGAAAAAAATTTTTAAGACCACCTCCAACCCCAATCAAGGGTTAAGTAACCTAGGAACAAGATGCTGAGTCCACAGTACTACCTTCTTCTTTTTCTAGTATTTCATCCTCATCTGGGAACTTGACATTCTTCTTTTTCTTCTTTTTATTGCCAAGCATAATATCAAGGTCATCTTCTGGTTCAGCTGGCTCTTGGGTATCACTTTCAATCTTAAGATCCTAAGAAATTGAGATAATTCTCAGCATTTTGATACTGGGACTATTGTTTTTCAAAATGGCATGGGCTCATATTATTGGGAGGGGACCCAAATATTTAAAGGTACAGATTTTTTTTAAAAAAATTCCTCTTATGAGGTGAGCAAAAATAGTTGAGATTCTGTCATTTAAATTGTGAAATCTTTGAGATACTTTTGTAGGACTGTTCCCCCTCTTTTATCTCGTCAATCTTCAAGCTTGGGATGGGAATCTTATAATTATCATCTGTATTTCCAAACCAGACTACTATCAAAATCACTTGAGGAAACTAAAAGATTCTTAAACAAGTTTCTAAGCAAATATGACAAAGTGGGAGGGATTTCTTCTGACACTATGTATGAGGTGTTTTCTACAGCATTTTCCAATAACAACCAGGTGTCTTCCAATTCAATTCTGACACTACCTACAATTGTCAGACTATACAAAGGCTCAGTTTCATAGTTTAAGGGCTCTCACTTCAGATGCCAGTATCAAGTATCAAGTCTCAAAGTTACCCACATTTTTGTCTATCTTGGCTGTAATTTCAGTCTCATCCCCCAATTCAATAATTTGCTAAAATGACTCAAGAGAACCCAAGGGACAGCCAGAGAGATGCGTACAACAAGGTATGGAGGGTGAGGAGCTGGGAGTGAGCTGAGGAGGGCAGGTGTGTCTCCAGGTCCACCACCATCTCAGCATCTCAATGAGATCACCAACCTGGAAGCTGACTGAATTCCATCACCTCGGGTTTCATTTACAAAGGTATGACCAATGAAATCACTGGTCACTAGCAATTGAATTCAATCTCCAGAACTTTCATATCTCAAGGTGGCAAGGGTCATAGAAAGTTCCAACCTCTAATCATGATCTGGTATTCTGACCAACCCCATCTTGAAGCTATCAAGGGCCTCCCAATCAAAGCTTCTTAATATACAAAAGTCACTCATTACTTGTACAGAGCTCCCTGTCCCACACATGCTGTCAGTATCACCAACAACTGGTATCTGTATTTTGTGTGCCTACATCAGAAACTACTGTAACAATGGCTACAGTAATTTCAGAAATGTTACTGGTAAAAAGGCTGAAATAGGGGTAAATCAAGCTCAGATTTGGGATCCCAAATCTAGCTGTGTAGTCTTGGTGCTATACTAATCAGCCCATGATATTAGATACCATACATAAAAGAAAACATATTGACCTATTCTCTAAAATGAGTTAGAAAAAGAGAAACTTGCCAATGCTGAAAACAAATTGGCACACATCAGCCAGCTCCTACTCCTACACTCTTTATCTATTTTATCCCAGTAAGACCTACATCCAAACTGAGGCCAAAACACAGAGAAAGGCAGAAAATAGCAAAAAGTATTTTTCTAAGTGGCTCAAAATCCCTGCAATGGTCAGAAATCCAGATGGGAGAGCAATCCAAGACCTTGAAACATTTCAAATGATGCCACCGCCTTGCCTATGACCAAGATACTTGTAATAATATCCTTTTATACTATGTCTTCAGCAGCAGGGAAAAAAAGCATCCATACACTTAACAAAAATGAAGCTTTTCAGTGATTCTTCAGGACAAAAGCTACTGGAAGAATCAACGAACAAATCTTTGTTAATTCCTATGGCATTTCTCTGATGTGTCACTTTGTTACCCAAGATGTTTAAACCCTATTGGTTCTAAGCACTTCTACTTTCTGAATTTCTCTACAAAATCAGAATAACCCAAACAGGGAGAACAAAAACAGGGAGAGAACAGATAAAATCATTTTGTTGTAAAGGATTCTATATTATCCCTGAACTAAAATATCTCTAAAACCGAAAAATCTTTATCATTACTTTAGCAATTTGTACACAATCCCTAACTTACTATAATCACCCATATGCATTTGTACTTTATCAAAATCATGACACTGTTTCCAAAACTCAATGTATAAATTTATTGCTCTCTATGGCTACTCCTTAATTACTTGAGTTTGAGCAATCGAGCATTTATCAAAGAAAAATTTCACAAAGTATAACATGGGATGTTTGGTGTATGTCACCGTTCTTTCTCTGAACATCAAACACACACACACACACACACACACACACATACACACACCTGCTATATGCTAGGTTTTAAAGATACGTGGACTCTGCTAAAGTGATTCCTACACTGGGTATTTTAAAAGGTAACTGTCAGGAAGGAAAGAACACTTTTAGTTTCTTCTTCCTTCAGCCATCCACTCTCCCATTCACCTACCCACCCACATTCCTATTCAAGAGAATTCTGGAAATAATGCAGTAGCAATATAATCACAGGGTCTCAAGTCCCTGCAACATCAGAGAACGCCACTGAACTAGCCCAAGTGTTCTGGTTTGCCTTAATGGCTACGCTGTCATCGGCTGCCAATTAACACAGGCTGGGTAGGGTTCACTCTTCGATGCTTCCAACAGTCTACCACTGTTACACAAGATGTCTCACTTACAGAAATCTCTCCTCAGTCAAACAATCTCAGTATGGTTAAGGACAATGAGCATTTTATGATCATCTTAGTAGCAAACAATATATAAAACTTAAACTTACATTCCTTAAATTATAATCTTTCAGATAACTAGTCAGATACACGCCCAAGAAAATGACCTTAATAGTGGTGATTCAAGTGATTAACAAAAGCAAAAGTACTAAGATATGAGACAAGGAGGAGACAGCCATTCGCAACATTTTAAGAGGTCAAATTTTACCTTCAACAAGAAAGCAATACTACCTTTATACCCTCTTCAGCTTCATCAATATCAAATATCTTTTTTGTTTTTTTCTTCTTTTTCTTTTGATTAAAGAAATTCAAGTCATCTAGATCATCAGAAGCATCTAAAAAGACAAATTAAATATTATCAGTTATTAACATCTAGCAGAAAGCAAAGAATCAAATTATGTGACTTATTAAGCCACCAGAAAAAAGAGATCAGGTATTAATATTAATTATTAATTAGTATAGTAGTCCTTCCACATCTCAAAGGTTACAGATCCAAAAAACACTGATAGATCAACTTTAAGCTTTCTAGAAAAATCTGGTTAGAAGACCATGTTGAGAGTATTTGGTAATCTTACTGTCATTTCTCATTGTTTCCAAGACAAAGAGAGTCTTAACACAATTTCCAAGACTACTCGGCTGTATCTGTTCACTTCTACCTACCACTGCCTTCCAAGCCCCAGATCTCAATCCCTGGCTCCGCCCCTACTGAACTACTTACAGTTCCTAGTGCACTGCGCATGTAGTCTCTCACCTTCAAGTCTTGCCATAGACCTTATCACACAGCTCTTAACCTTCATCTCACAGATCTTAGCTAGAAGTACTTCCATAAAGACACCTTCTAGAAGCTTATAAGTGGTACCTCTTTCCACGATTCTGGTCACAAACCAAACTGGTCAAGAACTAAATCAAATTTAATGGTTAGGTTTAATGCTGACCATACAGGGAAATTTAATTCGGTTCTTTTCAATTCAGTTTGCCTATGGGAAATAAATGCCTCTGAACCTAATTTATATTGACTATAAGGCTGTTGGGATAGAACTAACATTCACTGAGCAAATAACCCCTGTGGAAAGAATTAAATTCATGAACCAAGGTTGTAATTGGGTTAGATGCTCACATTACGTCTTGACGACCCCAACTGCTACTCCCTTGCCTGTCTATCTCCCTTCTAGATACCAACTGGATAATCCTTGCTCAACTAACTCCTGGTGCCAGGCTCAGTATTTTACTGAGTCAATCATCATGTAAATTATTTCACATTCATTAAAATAAAGCTGCAAAGTAAATATTTGGTGTCACTGAAAAATACAGTGAATGCTTTTTAAAAATTATAGTAACAGACACATCACTGTTAACCCCCCTCAAAATACTCCCTCTCACTTTGAACACACTGATCCCATTGTCCTTGCCACTTGCTGAAGCAGTTCTGGAAGTCTTTCATGTGTGTCTTTAGTTGTGCTGTTGTGACTGCCTCCATGTCCCCAGTAGATTCAAAATGTTTACTTTCAGAGCCATTTTGACTTTGGGGAAGAACCAGAAGTTGCATGGTGCCAGATCTGCTTAATTAGGTGAGTGAGGACGTGTGTAATGTTTTCACAAGCCTGCATTTTAGTTGCATATCATTCAGCAGCAGAATTCACCATATTTTTTATCACACCTTATAAAGGCAAAAGATTTCCAGAACTGCTTCAGCAAGTGGCAAGAACAATGGGATAAGTGTGTTCAAAGTTAGTTTTCCTGTAATGAGTTTAAAGTTTTTAACATTCACTTTTTTTTTTTTGAGACAGGGTCTCACTATGTAGTTGAGACTGACCTGGAACTCACTGTGTAGCCCAAGCTGGTCTTGAACTCACAGCGATCCTCCTGTCTCAGCCTCCTGAGTGCTGGGATTATATAGGCGTGTGCCACCACGCCCGGCTCATTCACTGTGTATTTTGATCACAGTGTGTGTGAAAATCTGTGAAAGTATCTATCATGAATGAGTAATAATGGGTTTTGTTCAGTAACTTTTTCATTTGCTCTACTATGTTGTATACTAATACTTTAGGATCCCCTACTACAAAATTTCTCAAGGAACTATTTATGAATTCACTTTATCCCTTTTCCTTTTTTGTGGTTGGGATTGTAAGTGCTCTACCACTGAATAACATCCTCGGCCCTTTTAAATTTTTATTCATTTTGAGACAAGAGTTTTGCTATGTAGTTCAGGTTGGCCTTGAACTCATTATGTAGCTGAGGGTAGCCTTGAACTCATGGTGATCCTCAGCCTCCCAAGTGCTGGGATTACAGGTGTGCACCACAACATCCGGCTCCTCAGCCCTTTTAAAATTTTGGTTTGAGGCAGTATCTGGGTAAGTAGCCCAAAATAGCCTTGAACTTGCTATCCTCTTGCCTCAGCCTCCAGGAAAGCTAGGATTATAGGCATGTTCCACCACACCTGGTTGATTCTATCTTATTACAAATGAAATTATTTATTTTCCAAGTTTGCTTCAAAAATATACAAGAAATTAACATGGTTATTTGCTCAATGAATGCTAGTTCTATCCAAACAGTCTTATATTCAATATAAATTAAGTTCAGAAGCATTTATTTCCCATAGTCAAATTGTGCCTATGTTGGAGCAACACTAACATAAGTGAAAAAGCTGGGGCCTAATTCCAAACATTTTAGAGTATAATATTAATCTCTCATATACATTTTCAGAATTGCTAAAACAACCCACCCCTTCAACCCCCACCCCAAAGAACAAAAACTAAAAAACCTGCCTATCTTGATCCTATTTCTTTCTGCCTACTCCCAAAGACAACCTCTATTAAAGTTGGAAAAGAGACCTGACAAGTTAGACTAGAAAATCAGCCCTGAAATGAATGATGAGATTTTGTCATGTCTGCAACTTGTGAACTCAGTGGGGATTTTCCTGCAACAAACCTATCAGAAATCCAGCAAGGTCCAGTGCACACAGACTGCTGATGGCCTCCACATCACTAGAACACCCTCAACAGGCTAAAAGGCCCCTTCATGTACAGAATCTAAACCACTGAAGGAGCCAAGGCTCCCAGGATAATAGTGACTCTGACATTAACTACTTGCCTTTCTTCCTACTATCCTCTTCATCAGCTTCCACATCTTTGTCCTCAGCTGGTTCTGGCTCCACTTCTTTTGTTTCTGAGGGCTGGGTTTCTTCTGTCTGGGCATCCCCTTCCTCATCTAACATAAAGGGCTTCTTCTTCTTCTTTTTCTTCTTGCTCATAGTAGGATCAAAAATCATCTATTTAAGACAGTAAGAAAGACCAAATGATTCTTCTTAATAATGCTCATATTCCAAAGATGCTTTATACTCAAGGCATACTCTGAAAGAGTATCTGATGCATTAAAAAAACAAAAATAATTTTATAAAAATAAAAAATAAATTGTACATCAATCTTCCTTATGTTACTAAATATGAGACGTGACAGGAGTGTCAGCATGAGTAAGGTACAATAAGATACAGCATCACTTTTAGTTTCATCTGCAAATTTGAACATTCTCAATGAATAATGGAATTGAGGAAAGTACAGAACCTCAGCAACAACCTATGTTACAACTCTTACTTTTTGGATGGCAAATGCCAAAGCAGGTTATGAACATTTTATTCAAGTTTGGTAAAACCAGGGTTGCCAAAGGAGACTTGTTATTTGATCTGATATTTCAAAAATTTTAGGGCTGGGGATTTAGCTCAATGGTGCCACTACCTGCCTCGCAAGCACAAGGTCCTGAGTTTGATCCCCAGTACCAAAAAATTTAAAAAAAAAAGTTTAGTCTAAAGTTCAGACAAATCTTAACCTTTAAGGAAGTTCTTTCATACAGAAAATCTCTGATTAAGAAAAACTTCTACAGAAACTCTTACTGTTCTTTGATTGTGGAATGTGAAAAGTTCTCAGGTTATTTTATCTAAATGTGCACAACAGAATGAAGAAAATATTTCTAATTATAGACTGTTTTTGCAATGACCACTTGAAAAAAACACAGATATTTTAGACATAATAGTTTAAAATTACCAGGCAGACACTTGATAGAGCAGAAAGAGTAGCCTTTTTGTTCTTATTGTTTGGAGCAGGGTCTTGCTATGTAGTTCAGGCTGGTTTTAAACTCACTATATACCTCAGGCTGGCCTCAAACTCACAATGATCCTCCTGCCTCAGCCTCCCCAAATGCTGGGATTACAGACATGTGCCACCACACCCACCAGAAAAGTTTTAAAGTCAAACAATTGGATTCAGGTCCCAAGTATTTTATCTCTGAGCTTCTTAACAATCTTTGCTCACATTTAACCTGGTTTAAATTTTGCGTTTTGCCCATTGATTTGCTGCGAGCTGTATAGTAATTAAAAGGACTAGTCCAGACAAGCCTGGGCTGGGCTTCATAGTTATTTCAAGGCCAGTCTGAACAAGACCTGGTCTCAAAAAACCAAAAAAATGGGCCGGGGATTTAGCTCAGTGTTTCTGCCACCTGCCTGGCAAGTGCAAGGTCCCAAGTTCAATCCCTGGTATTAAACCCATTGATTTGCTGCGAGCTGTATAGTAATTAAAAGGACTAGTCCAGACAAGCCTGGGCTGGGCTTCATAGTTATTTCAAGGCCAGTCTGAACAAGACCTGGTCTCAAAAAACCAAAAAAATGGGCCGGGGATTTAGCTCAGTGTTTCTGCCACCTGCCTGGCAAGTGCAAGGTCCCAAGTTCAATCCCTGGTATTAAAAACAAACAAACAAACAAGCAAAAAAACAAAAAACACACACACTTTTCTGCCACCTGCCTGGCAAGTGCAAGGTCCCAAGTTCAATCCCTGGTATTAAAAACAAACAAACAAACAAGCAAAAAAACAAAACACACACACACACACACACACACACAAAAAAATCCTGGCTCATACATGTATTACTATGCCTCATATGTAAAATTATAAAATAAAGATTACTAAAACCAAACCAGACAAGGTTAAAGGATAAAGTCAGTAAATAAACACTTGCAATTATAATTTATATAAATATTTATAGTTTATATAGCATGGTATTTGATTTCTCCAGCCATATCATGAAACTCTCAAAAAAATTCATTATAATTAACTTAAGATTTCTTTATGTTCCAAGTACATTATTTAAACTAAGCTAAACTGAAACAAAAGTATAAAATGGAATAAGGTAAAGTAGTATCCTCACCCAGGAGAGAAGTATCTGCATGGCATTCTAGAAGTTCCTCATTTCAAAGTTATTCTGTCTTACTTAGTGAGCATCTAGTTGTGTAAATGAATAATTCTGAAATGCAGTCAGTCTGGAGAACATTAACTTGGAAACAAAGAAGCATTCCTACCATAAAAGAGACAGGCAGAAGGAGGACTCCGGCACATTCACACTGCTGACCTACTACTGAGTCTTAGTTTACCCTCTACAAGGAGCACTGCAATCTGTTCCAGGGAGCCAGCCACAGTTCATCCTCATTCTTGAAAGAGAAAGACTTGGCAACAGGACAGCACTCCAGGCACTTTAAATTTGGTTCTGGCAGGCCTAACAATCCATTTATTGCATTTTTTCGAGCATCAGGTTCCCTAAAATATTAACTGCCCTTTAACTATTATTATTCAGCAAGACAGACCAAAGAAAGGAGAGACCCTGAAACCATCAGAGGACAGCCTCGCGGTTGCATTCTTACCTCTGAAAAACATTCTTATTTGGACATACAGGTAAAGTTAGTTATTCAGTTTTTTTATTTTGTTTTTGGAGGTCTTGCTGTTTAGTTCAGGCTGGTCTTAAACTCATGATGTAGGCTGGCCTCAAATTTGAGGCAATTCTTCTGCCTCAGTTTCCTCGATGCTGGGATTACAGGCATGTGCCACCATACCTGGCAAGATCTACAGGTAAAGTCAGACTGTAGTCTTGTGAAGGATAACAAACATGCAGGAATTATACACTGAAATAATGTCTCTCTTAATTACTATCTCTGAGTACTTTATACTTAACGCTTATATATTTAACATACTCTGCCTCATTTTATTTGCCACAACCCTGCAAAGTAGCTCACAAATACTGAAACCAAGGATCCCAAACCAGCAACCAGAATGGAACTTCTCAAAGTAAAAGGTCATGTCAATCTCAACTAAAATCATGGCTTTTTAAGAATTTCATATCTGACATTCAAATTATCAGATGACTACATCCCAAATGTTTTATGAGTAATTTGGATTTGAGAAACAACTGCTGATGATGCACCTATAGAAAGTTACAGAACCACCTGTTTTGTTTCGTTTTTTTAATCCACAATAAACCATAGTTTCCATTTTCACCTTCTTATATTGGATTGGAGAAGGCAAGGGAAAGGGATACCTGTTAAAATTACCCTGTCAATAGCCTGAAATGCTTTATCAAATTGCCTCCTTCCATCCACTGTACCTCATACCCAGGAGGCTACTCTATAAGACCCACAAAGAAGCATGGCATTGATCTAAAGTTCTTTTCAGTGGTGAAATGCTATGAGCATTTTCATCTTTGGGCAATAGGGTGCTGGGAGATTTTCCTTGCATTCTTCTGTATTCTGTAAACTTTATACAACATACATTCTATTTTTACTCAGATACATTCTTTTTTCTTTTAGGTTAAAGATTCTTTTACAAAAACACCTTATGCTCTGAAAACTGATATTCTGACACCTTGTGAGACCTAGTAGTAGGCAAATCTTAGATAATGGCAATGCTTTAAATAAAGAAATGTAAAAAGTCTAAAAAATTCCAAATGCCTGAAGATTAGGGGATTTATTTTTCCTTACCAAATAGCACTTAAATTTCTAAGATACTGCTTTTTAAAGATTACAGTTCCTCTGGCTTAAAAAAGGCCATGTTTTGCTGAGTTTCTGGCTTAACTGCCAGGTTTAAAAAGAAATGTATGGGCTGGTGGTATTGCTTAGTGTACAGTTTATTCTATGTCAATTATATGTAAGTAAGCTATTTAAAGAAAAAAGAAATATGAAGAAAAAATGAATTACTTTTAAAATAGTAGGCTCTTTAAACATCTATCTTAGCTACTGGTCAGAATAACGTCCACTTCGGGAAGTCCCTAGAAATTTATAGATCACTTCCAAGTACAGGTCCTCATTTGGTCCTTTTAAATCTGTAAAGTAGCCGGAAATTAAGGGATTTACTTAAGAATATTTATCTAGTCAACAGTACTACATGAAACCAGAACCTACATCCCATGCTTCAGACCTCCCTCTACCAGTAACCTCCACCTGCAAGAGTTAAGCCAGAGGCCAGGGTTCTAGGCTCACTAACTTGCTGTATGACCAGAGCCCTACTTTCCTACCTATAAAATGAAGTACTGGTAGACTTACTCGGTGCTAAACTACAAAATACTTTACTGGCTTCCAAAGTCCACTGTTGGAATGCTGTTTCTAACTCTTCTTGACAAAATCCTTTTCATCTTTCAGTCATGTACAGTATTCACATTCCACTTCTCTCAAATCCTGATCCCATTACTAAAAATGATCCCTCTAGCAACCCCCATCATTACTGATGGCCTTATTTCTACTTCCTGTGGCAATTAGACAAATTCTACCTTGCATTCAAGCTGTCTCTTACCTCCCTTTTACATTGAGCACATTACCATAGAAACCATATAGAATAATACCCCACAACCTTGCAGTAAATAAGTACCGTATTTACTAAAAGTTACAAAAAATATGAGGAATAAGTAGAAATAAAACAAGTGTGAAACACTGCCTCTCATAACTTCCGTAATAAAGAAATTTAGAGCAATATCTACTATGACCTTAGAGAAAAGAACCATCTACATCTTCAGACTGTTTCTCCAAGCTAATGTGACAGCCTCCTACTCACCTAGATGGAGGCAATATTGAACAGATCTGGAATTCTACTGGATCTGCCACTTAGAATTTGATTGTGGGCATTACAAAAATGTACACCTTAGTTTGCCCATCTCAAAAATGGGCATAACAAGTACTATCTTTCAGGGTTATTATGAAAAAAATCAAATGAGATTATAGTCCCCTCCAGAATAAATTCCAAATTCCTTACCTCAGTCTTTAAAGTCTTCTGTGAACTAACCAAAAACTACTTTTCAAATCTTCATTCCTTACCTTTAGCCCAACTGGAGAATACTCCACTTTCTGTGAGCTCTTACTGTACTTGCTTTTCTCGACCATTCCTGGCCCAACAAATCAGACCTTCCCACTGCTTGAGAAAATTCTAAGCATCGTTCAGGGCCTATATGAAAAACCAACCCACTATAGCTTCGAACCTCTCCTCCTCTCCGGGGCCCTACAGGCCAAATGAATTATAATTTTTTGTTTTGTTTTGTTTTTTGTTTTTTGTACCAGGGATTGAACTCGGGTCCTTGTGCTTGCGAAGCAAGCCGCGGAACCACTGGGCTGAATCCCCGGCCCATGAATTATAAATTTTTATAAGCTGTGTTTTGGAGTGTTGTTGGGCAAACTCCACCCTCAATGTTAAGGAACACGCTGAGCACAACTGACACCAATTTAATTTTTAAGTGGTTCGACCTTACATGAAGGTAGGTGGGAGCCGGGGGATGGGGGCAGTATCTGAGGAAATTTGCCGCGATCCCAGCTCTGCAACCCGGACTTCCCGCTCACCGTCACTATGAGTCCAGTTAATGGAAGCGCGAGGACTCCGGCCCGGAAACTTTCTGGAAAGATTATTTTTTGAGGCAGAAGGATCTTTCCCTTTGGTCCTTAACTCCCTCACCTCCTCGTCTTACAACAATAATAAAAATGATAATAATAATAACAATAATAATAATATTGCTGCTCCTGCTCAAGAGAAGAAGAGTGGGATACCTCTCCAGAAAGGCCAGCCTACAAAAGTTTTTAACAGGACGCTAGCCGAAGCCGAAGGAGGCTCCTGGAAGCCCCCACGGGGGGAGGCGCCGAATAGGGTCGCCAACCCCAGTCTCGCTCAGTGGAGGCAGCGCCTAGGGTTCAAGCCCCTTCATCGGGGGCCACTCAACGTGTGCTGTCCGTTTCCGAAACAGCGGCCACGGGAGGAAACCAGCCTCAGCGACGACGCCCTGAAGAGAACGGAGTGCGGCCAAATGTGCGGATCCGGAGTCCGCGCCGGCTTCACCGCTCCGGGCTGCCGAGGCCCGGCTGCCCCACATGGCGGCGGCTGGCCGCTAGGCCGCAGGCCCACTTTTCCACACGGGGGTGGGTTCGGCTTCCGGCCTTGGTCCTTAGCTCTGGCGCTAAGCTCAGGCCCTTACCTCATCCCCGGACATGGCTGCAGCTTGAATGGGCTCGGCACGGATGGGAAGTGAGACAGGTCAGCCCCAGACCCCGGCGTAAGCGCTTCTCCTGCCGGTACTCCTCCAAGCACCGCACTAGGCTCTTGCATCAGCGAAAGGGGACGACACCCCGCCCTCCTCTCAAACGCTGGAAGTGCGCCTGCGCAGAATTCTCCGAGGCGCAGGCGCGCGCAAGAGCCAAATTTGCGCGCTTCGTGTGGCGCGAGTTAACAAGCGATCCCGCTATCCCAGGCATGATGGAACTTGTAGTTCGCCTGGAAGAGGCGTGTGACTGCTCTGCAGCAACCCAAAAGTCCGTCGGTCTGTGACTTGTGCGTGGGTGAGTGCGTGCGTGCGTGTGTGTGTGTGGTCTTACCATGCCTCAACCTTTGTGAGATTCTCTATTGCTTGTGAAGCGCTTTTCTAGGCTGTTGGTAGAATGAATTTAAGGCTGTTCACTCCCAACCCGGGGCTTAATGGGTAAGACTGTAATAGGAGCAAGTGGGGTAGGTTTCCCCCATGACCCTGGGGTGTTGTGTTTGAGGAATTCTAGATAGGAGCCGAGGAAGTACATGTCACTAAAGAGATTTTAATTCGTTAGAAATTCAGTGAGTTGGCTTTCTATTTGGAAAGTCGGAAACAAAAAAGTTTTCTCCCTGTATCTCCAAGGGGAGACTGAGGAAGGAAGGCATCGCCTGAGGAGAAACTGCCAGGCAAAACCCTGAGCGTGGTGGCGTATACCTGAAACCTAGCTATTTGGGAGGCTGACGTAGGAGGATTCGACGCCAGCCTGGGTAATTTAGGGTGACCTTGTCTCAAAATAAAAAGGCTGGGAGTACATATCAACAGAGGGGCTCTGAGTCCTGGGAGGGAAAGGATCATGCAATTCCCCTTAAGGTGTAGTAGCTGCCATTTAAAGAGCTCTATTACTAGGGCCCTTCAGACATAAGGAAGAATATCTGTTATTTAAAGCAGACTGGGTAATACAGGCCTGTAATCCCAGCGCTGTGGGAGACCGAGGCAGGAGGATCAAAAAATTTGAGCCCAGGGTCGGGGATTTAGCTCAGCGGTTCGGTGGCCTGCCTAACAAGCTCAAGGACCCGAGTTCGATCCCCGGTACCCAAAAAAACAAAAAAATTTGAGCCCAGCCTGGGCAATTTAGTGACTTTGTGAGATCCAGTCTCAAAAAAAAAAAAAGGTGCAGATCAGTACACAGGCTCTCAGTTCAATTCCCAGTGCCGTCAAGAAAACAAACAAGCAAACAAAACCTCTTGTAAGAGATATTGCTCAATGGTAGAGCACTTACTTGCCTAACATACTGGAGGCCCTGAGTTCAATCCCTAGCACTCACCCCTACTTTTTTATAAAAAAGAAAATACCCTTGTAATTGGACAAATTGGACTTATTAGCTCCTTGTAGGAAGAAAGGCCCACCCAAAGGAAAAGCAGGACATCTCAGGAAGAGTGTTAGAATTTAAGTTTGGGCTTCTTAGGTAATTTGGGGTTCGAGGAAGCAGGGCTTCTCGCTAGATACTCTCAGGAGGTGGGGGTAATTCTATGAATGAATACTTTGATGATTCTTACATTGAAAAGGAGAAGAACCAAATAAGGCTATAGCTTTTTTCTTTTCTTTTTTTTCTTAATGCTGGGGATTGAACACAAAGCCTTCATACTGAGCTACATCAAAACCTTCATGCTGAGCTACATCCCCAGCCTTTTTTAAATTTTGAGGCAATTTGGTTAAGTTGCTAAATTGCCCAGAATGAGTTTAAACTTTTGCTCCTCCTGCCTCAGCCTCCCAGAATCCTGGGATTACAGTTGTGTCTCACCATACCTGACCTACACCTTCAAATGGCAAAAAAGAAGTAGTCCTTTATAGTAAACAAGATAGCGAGATATTTACTCTTGTTTGTGTTTGGTACTCTGAACATGTGGCACCGAATTTCACATGGGTCCAAACTCAGAACCTTGTGTTTACGCTTATGAGGCAGGCAGGAGCCACTGGGTAAGTCCTTGGCCCTTTTGTTTGTGTTTGGGACAATGTTCCTTTTTGTTTTGCCACGTGATTTTGTTTTGATCTATTGTGGTCACAGAATGGCCTTATCTGATGTTGGTATTCTGTGAAGTTGTTTAGTTCATCTGGTTAGCATATCCTGGGTGATAATGCTAGCCTAGCTATCAAGGACTGCTTTTCTCCTTATTATGCTCAACATTACTTAATATGTGTTTTCTGATTTGGGCTTCAAAAGAACTGTATGACATAATCCACAAATACTTAGTACTCCCTTCTAGGTACCAGTTCCTAATTTAATCATTGCAGGTCTTTGCTCCAAGGAGTTTATACTTTGCTCAGATGCATACTTTATTAATCCCTTTTTCCAGATGAGGAAACTGCTGGAAGTGGATATGAGACCAGACAATCTGATGCTGATGGCTACCCTTTTACCACTTTGAAAATCTGAACTACTAAGCACCCTAAATTGTTGCCTCCAAATCTCAGTCATCTTCAGCTCCTGATATTTGTGCAGTACCAGGGTTTCTCAACAGCAGCAATATTGACATATTGAGTCAGTTCTGTGTTGTGGGGTGATGTGCTGTGCACTGTAAGATATTTAGCAGCACCCCTGACCTCTAGTCATAGATGACAGTAGCACTCTCCCCCTAGTCATGACAACTAATGTCTCCAGGCATGCTAAATGTCCCCTTAGGGCACAGAATCACCCCATGTTGAGAACCACTAATATACTAGTATATTATCTTTCCTGGGTCTTTGAGATGTAACAAACATTTGGGACACAGCAGTCCCCAAGTCATTGGAGAAGGGGAGGCCTTGATGAAGAGAGAAGGAAGGTGTAGATTGTTTTTTATTTTTATTTTTTGGTTCCAGGGATTGAACTCAGGACCTTGTACTTGTGAGGCAGGTGGCAGAACCTCTGAGCTAAATCCCCGGCCCTTAGACTAAGTTTTTGAAAAGCATGTTCAACTGGGAAAATGAAGATTAAGAGAAAGAGAAAATAAAGTAGAAAAAAAATGCAGGGAAAACAGGAGTGATAGAGATGGAAAAAAGGGGCCACAGAGTAAATCATCCTTATATTGCTTAGTTCATACTAGCAGAATTAGTTCATACTGACCAAAACATGCTAAGGAAGTCTTAATGATGCCTTACTGTTCCTCCACTTCCTGTTTGGGGAACTCTGGTATGCTTAGCAAATTGTCTTGGTCACTGTTGTGAAAAGATTTCTTTTTCTGTACAGCACGATACCAGCTATAACCTCCATGAACTGGCTATTTGAAAGAAGTCATCCTGCAGGGATTTCACACTTCTTCCAAGGTAATATATTATTTTCCGGGAAAAGCCAAAGTTCTCTGCTGGCCAAATTCACAAAGCAGTGACAGCTAAACTTTCCTAGGTTTTTCAAAAAATAGATTTTACATAGCATCAGTACAAATAATCACTTGTATTTTCATAACTTCTCTTATCTAGGAATCTCTGCAGAGCCTATAAAATATAAAACATATATTAATTTTCTTCTCATACCTGTATAGAAAGTCACTGTGATTTTCCTATTTTATAGATACAGTAGACAAATTATGGAATCCACAAACAATAAAAATTTGGAAACAAACTACTGGAATCTTTTCTCTGGATCATTCTTTATGCATAGCACTACCTCAGATCTTTAGGAAGTCCGTGATGATAATCCTTCGGTTATATAAAAAATTAAATATTTTTGTTGGCTTTAAAATATCCCAAAGTCTCTTTACTTGATTATAAGATAGATCTATAGAAGACTGTGACTTAAACATCAAGTAGTAACAGTACTTGAACTGTAACCAAGAGCTCATGATTCTCCAAATGATGCTCTTTATATTTTATATGCAAGGTCATACATCTTCATGATAATGTTTAATTTACAGAAAACATAAAGTAGAGATTCTAATCCACACAGAAACCCATACCTATTCAGTCCGACAAGTACTTCATTTCATGAAGCCATTAGAGTTAATTCTGGTGAGGAAAGAGGAATGTCACTAAGATATTAATAAAAAGCATTTAGTAAAAGGTGAAAGATGTATGCAATCTGAAGAGAAACCAGAATATAAAAAGCATTTAATAAATCTAACTACATTTACCTTTGGGTTAATGTAGGAGACAAAAGGTATAGTGAGGCTGCCCTCAAAAAAGTCTTGCATAAGGTTGTCCTTTGAGGCATAAACTAGAAGTACAAATGAATTCTTAATTATTAAATGTCATTATGTTTAAGTGATTTAAGAGATTATCTTTGAATGTGTCACTGAGGAGGTTTAGCAATCACAGATTCTAAGCAAGTTGACCCCGCTATCTCTAATAGCAAGTGATTATTTCAGTGATTCCCAGATCCCTGTTTCCAATCCAACCTTTCCTCTGAGTTTTAGTCTCACCTATCCAAATGCCTACTTCTCGCATTTGCGTGTCTTACAAATATTTAAAAGTTATTGTGTCTAAAGCAGAGTTCTTGGTATTTCCCACAATAAGTCTTCCTCATCTCAGTTAAGGATACTGCTCTGTATCCATTGCTTACATCAGAAACCCAGGGGTTACCCTCAATTTCCTCCTTTCCCTTAGCTTCTTCATCCTATTCATTATCAAGTATTAATAAATTTTAAATAGGAACTACTTCTACCTTCCAACCACTACCCTAATCCAGGTAATTGTCATCTCATCTCTTTCTCAGTCAACATTTTTCTTTTGTCCTTTCACATTACTTAGCACAATTTAATAATCAATTATTTAGTTGTAATTTTCTTAATTTCAACCTTGCCACTAGAATATATGTAAATTCCTTGAGGATAGGTACAAAAATCTGTCTTGTTCACTCACATATTTCCAGCATCTCTCACAGTATGTGGCCCATCATAGGCACTTAACAAATATTTGGTTAATATTTGTTGAATTAATAGATGAAAATATAATAGTCTAAAATGATAACATAATTGCTTATATAAAATGGGAGCCTTTATTTAATCATACATCATAAAAATGGCTGAAGCTAACATAGTTAAAATCAGTTGTATTACAGTGTGTCTGAAAGTGTCAGTTGGAGTTGAAATGGTACAACCTGGAACCCAGAAAGGGAGGAATTAGCTAGGATTTGGCCA